TCAGGATGAGCGAGAAGTGTAACTTCAGCGAGAGCCGTTTTGATCTCTGAGAATGCAGTACGTGCGGTATCGTTCAATTCTAATTTGCGTGGATTACCACGTAGTAAATCGGTTAATGGTCGTAACCGTTCTGCCGCGTGAGGGATGAAACGTCGGTAGAAGTTAACCAAACCGAGAAAAGCCTTCAGTTCCTTGATTGAGGACGGCACGTTGTACTCCTTGATTGCTCGAACTTTGTCCTCGCAAGGTAGAATACCCTCTTGTTTGATGATGTGACCCAGAAATATTATTTCTGATTTACCCAATTCACATTTTTCTGGGTTGACTACTATTCCATTATCCGAAAGACGTTGGAATAATAGCGTAAGGTGTTGATAATGTTCATCTACGTTTGATGATGCGATCAGCAGGTCATCAATATAGACGTGAACAAAATCCAAGTCTCGTACTATGCTATCGATAAACCTTTGGAAAGTTTGAGCAGCATTCCGTAATCCAAATGGCATTCGTAGGAACTCAAACAGACCGAAAGGAGTCGTGATAGCAGTTTTCTCGATGTCTTCAAGAGCGACTGGGATCTGGTGATATGCTCGTACCAGATCGATTTTAGAAAAGATAGTCGTGCCCTTGAGCGATGCCGTGATGTCGTGTATGTGGGGGATGGGGTAGCTATCAAAGCGCGTAACTACGTTTAATGCTCGGTAGTCGCCGCATGGTCTCCAACTAACCCCATCCTTTTTGCGCACCATGTGTAAAGGAGAGGCCCAAGGACTGTGAGAAGGACGAATAATACCAGAAGATAGTAAATTGTCAAACTCACGTTTAGCGAAAGCTAATTTGTCCGGTGCCAGTCGGCGTGGTCTTGCCGTGACTGGTGGTCCGCGGGTGACTATGGGGTGTACCACACGATTGGTCACCGATGAAATCTCCTCGAATGGTTTAGTTAATCTGGGGAATTTCTCGAATAAGGCGTGGAATTTATCGTCACGCGAATAAAAAGTTCCGAGGATTCGGTACGCGTTTGTGTGAGCTTTAAAGCCCATGAATTTGCTGTTCGACGAAGTATCGATTAGCTGCAGCCTACGTGAATCGACTAGCAATTCATAGTGCTGTAGGAAATCAATACCTAGTATGGCTGTGGGAACATCAGCGATGATGAACGTCCACAGATACCGTCGTCGGTTGCCCAGGTTGACCGCGAGTTGTCGTGTACCGTAGGTAGGAATGGCTGAGCCATTTGCAGCGCGTAGTCGAAGCATTGTAGCTTGTGACTTGATGATACCTCGTGGTACGACAGAAACTTGGGCACCTGTATCCACTAGGTACCTAGCGTTTGTGCGATAATCGTGCACGTAAAATAAACGGCCAACCTGGGGGGCAGGGCCGGCGAGTACGGCCGCTTTTACTCGCCGGCTTTGGAGTTTCCCGCCTTGTATGAGCACGGGGCTCGACAACGGCGGGCACCAGATCCGAAGGATCGATGAAACCAGCACCAACCTGCACTCGCTTCCGAAGCCGCCTTTTGGCGTGGCTTGGAAGATGCCCTCGTTGGGCGAGTGTTGACGGCTTTTCGAGAGCGTGAGCGGACTCGAGGGACGTAGGGTTGGGGTACGTTACAACGGTCTCGAAAACTAAGACGTGTATGAATACACCCTTCCCTATCACCTCGAGCCGAGGAGTGGCTGTCGTCGATATCGACTTTCGGACGCGACGTTGAGGCAACTACGTAGTTGTCTCGGTTGCCAGTCCTAGCTAGAATTTTGTCTGCTGTGAGGGCTACCTGTTTCAGTGGTGCGTCCTCGAGCAGGGCCGTAACTGTAGGTTGGATAAATGCTGGTAGAGATTCGAGCCACAGTTCTTTAACAATTTCAGAATCGGCTGCCGTGGGTCCTGCAAGAGATTGCAGGCGCGTGAGGTGGTGGCTCGGCTTAGCATCACCCAGCGGGTGACGTGCTAATAACGTCCTCAATCGTTCCTCCCTCGAAGGAAGGAAATATCTGAGGACCGCCTCCTTGAGACGATCGTAAACATTGGGCACATTGGAATTGAGGACAACCTCACGGACAGCTACTAAATGGTCTCCCGGTAAACATTCGAGAGCGTAAGTGTACTTCTGCCGTTGGCTTGTAATATGTCGGGTCTCAAATTGAGACTCTATAGCAGCAAACCAAACTTCGGGATCGTGAGGAATAAAAGATACAGGTCGAAAGTGTATAACCTGTACGTCAGAGTCTATTACGTTAATATTATTCTTATCGTTATCCGTCATGTCAAATATATATATTAAAAATTAATATGGAAATATATGACAAACGTGGATAGATAAGCGATAGACTCACCAAAATTGACTTCTTTGGAAGGTTTGGTTGCGATTGCCAAGTGCTCGTAGATGTAGGTTCACCAGTTGCAGAAGATTTGACCGAAGTTGAGGCGTGTTCCAAAATTTGGGTCACCAAATGTAGCGTGGTGTCGAGTTGAGCTGAACTATGAACACCGCTACCAGACTACTTGCCAATAGACCAATAAAATTCCGATAGGCCAAAATATCAGAAGGCAGATGATTGTAGTAGTCGTATATATTTGTTGGCGATCTCGTGGTATCGAAAGAATACCGAGATCGTGCCAAAGGAGTACAGTTGCGATCGGCAAGATAAGATACGTGCGTAGTCCAAAAACCGCGTAAAAGCAACGGAATACAATGGAAGCCCAAAATGGCTGTTATTAGCACAGTTAAACAAACGAGCACAGTAAAACAGTCACTGGTACAATTGGTTATAATAATAATTGTTTTCATCGAACCAATCGTGTTCTGTTGACAAAAGTAGGTCACTACAAATGCATGTTTGTCTTGAACAGGGTAACTGACCTATGTGGTTATTCAATACTAATGTATGTGTCCGCTGTAGAGACGGAGAATGAATTTCTGCAAATATAATCTCCGCCTGCCGATCAAATCATGTTCACAGATCTAGTGCATATTTATAATTACTATTTAAGTTGTATTTTACGATGAGTTCTAATTGTACGGTTACAGTAAATTGATATTATTGCTGTGGACTCTGTAAGTGCATTCTTCCCAGATTTATTAGCAATACTTGAAGTTTATAGATCGATTTTCGGGTACCTACAATTTGTCTTCAAATACCAAACGGCTAGGTTAACCCCAGGAACGATTAGATAACGATGCAGGACACCTATCTTCATGCTGTTAGCCGCTATTCTATTAACATATTGAGTCCAATGGACTGAGAGTTTTAGCCGCCTGTTTTAGCAGTTATTTGCTGCCTTTCAGAATTGCATTGATTAGACTAGAAATCTACCCATATCTTTTTGTAATATACGGCCATTGGATTCTGTAAACTAATTGAAAAGCTAAAGCATCTCTAACACTCAAGTTTGCGTCAGAGAGTAACTTAACGATCACTGAATAAGGAAAGTTATGTGAACGAATCATTTACACACTAACGATGACCAAATTTTTTATTAACTTCGTCCACTTCTATTCATTTATTGAATTATCTAAAAATAAAACTAGCAGCTATACGAAATATTTCAATGTATCTTGCAAAAGCTCACTAAAAGTGAAGAAGGTGTAGCGTCTTAAATCCCGTGAAAGCTTGGTGAAAGTTCGTGTTTATTTGAACCACAAATCTTACCTGAATGTGCTGTCATAGTGACATAACTTACATATACGACGTAGCGTTGTCGCGAAACTTGTGAACCGATGTGGTTCTTTACGTTATCATTCTTGTCATTAGATATTTGTTGCTCAATTATTGTTTTATAACGTCGGTAATTATTATTCTCTTTTGCAGCAGCATGGGTCTACAGATTCGCGTAGTTATCAGTCAGAGTGCATACTTACTCTTTTACGAATTGACTTTATGTACCTACTGGTTTTCATAACGAAATTAGTGCTTATAAAGCTAACACATAGTTGTCTATAATTTACACAAACAGCTACACGCTTAGATTATCGCTGCACCTCCCCATGAAACTGTGATAAAAACGAAAATGAGAATTGTGCAAAACTTTATTGATACATCATTCCTACTTATAGAATTGAGCTTTCATAGTCTTCACATCAGGGGAAGTGACCTGCTTACCAGCTCAAACCTTAATATTACTTCATCTATTGACGATGATTTCAGCAGCGACGGTCGAAATTTTAATTATCTTCTGGTCCACGGACCACAAACCATCCATGAGCTACTATAAAGATGATTGTGCAACAAGTTGGATGATGTTATGAATTATTCCCCCCTCCCAAAGTTACGCGTGTAGATCACTAACTAGGTGATCTATGCTGAATGATTGGCGGCCCACTCGTGTTAGTCGGTAATGGTGTGACGAACCAACTAACTTCGAATTCACACCTCGAAGTCAGCATTGATTGGCATTTCTAAAACTAAGGCTTTAAATGTCACACATTACACAAGATTTTAACGGTTTTTCATTTACTTTTAAACCTTGTGGTGTACGCTTACGACCAAATGTGCACTGAAACACAACAAATATGTACTTAAATCTCATGTTCCTCACTGATTTAATTTCAACATGGATGTAATGGGTATGAGCAGTCTGAAAGCGGATAACATTATATTTTCTTATTTGTTGAAATTTACTTTGGGCACTATCGAATTTACCCTAGCTTCCGAAACGCCCTTTCGGTAATATGCCTCGCTTATTTTGACTCAGATATCTTTTGAACATGGAGCACTGCAAGCAGCGCTCGATAATTATTTAAAAAAGGTTACTCATTGCGACAATACTTTACTAACTGAAGAAAGTGTCACTTAGGTCTAAAGTTTACCGATTATTTGACATCTCGTCCTAATCCTGGAGTAAAACAACGATTCTCAAAAAGTTTACATATATAGAACCTCTGAGTTTTTATTTATACTCTGTTTCCTGGACCTTATCAGTCTTTAAACAAAGACGGTGGGGTTCAGTAAAGTGATTAATATGTAGCGTGGTGTCGAGTTGAGCTGAACTATGAACACCGCTACCAGACTACTTGCCAATAGACCAATAAAATTCCGATAGGCCAAAATATCAGAAGGCAAATGATTGTAGTAGTCGTATATATTTGTTGGCGATCTCGTGGTATCGAAAGAATACCGAGATCGTGCCAAAGGAGTACAGTTGCGATCGGCAAGATAAGATACGTGCGTAGTCCAAAAACCGCGTAAAAGCAACGGAATACAATGGAAGCCCAAAATGGCTGTTATTAGCACAGTTAAACAAACGAGCACAGTAAAACAGTCACTGGTACAATTGGTTATAATAATAATTGTTTTCATCGAACCAATCGTGTTCTGTTGACAAAAGTAGGTCACTACAGGAGCCCCCCGCTAGAAAGGGTTTACACTTTCGATAGTTAGCGGTTTGATTCGTGGGACTGATCGGCAGAATTGCGGTTGTAGGACGGAGGAAATTGGCGGAACAGGAAGTGATCATTGATCCTCGAGTTGCCAACGAAAGTCTTTTGCGCAGAACGGTACCAGGAGAAGTGTGCTGTATTTGTTGGTCGAGTTAGCATACCACACCAGAGTGGTTTGTATCCAGAATCTGATGATTGCGTTCGTAGGGATGTGAACCAGAAAACGCTGCAGACGTAGGACGAAACCACGTTGAGCCAGGAAACCGGACGCGACCATAACTACCAAGCATATGCCAGGCGAATTCGAGACCAGATAATCGACTGAGTGCGTTGACTAGAGCGTGGGTGACCAAACCAGCTTTCGCCAAAGTTGACTGAAGTCGACGTTATCAAATGGACGATGGTCGGAGGCGTGGGCTCAGGATACAAAAAAAAATCAAAAAAAGAAAAGTGTAGCATGCGTGTAGTATAGGAATAATCCTACACCGTATCCGTTATTGACTGTGCGTTTAGTCGCGAAAGCGTACGGGTAATCGTACTCGGCGACCGGAACGTGAGACGGTAGTCTCGTTCGTACTTCGTGAGCCTGCGATCTCATCCGAGGTCAAGGGCGGCGTGGTCTGCCGATCTGGACGTGAGACGGAAGTCTCGTCCGTAGATGGTGCAGATGACGCGTGCTGTTGACCGGGACGTGAGAACGAGGTCTCTGATGTATCTAGCGTGGGATCCGAGGTAGATGTAGAGATCCCGCTAGAGGGTTTGGTAGGTCTAGCATTGAGTCTCAAGTTATTGGGTAGGGCACTGTCATCGACGTGTGCTGGTTTGAGACGATCAATGCTGACGATCTCGACGCGGCCGTGTCGATCAACCTTGAAGGTCTTTTCGTGACGAGAGATCACGTGAAAAGGGCCTTCGTAAGGCTGTTGTAGAGGTTTGCGTACCGAATCTACTCGTATGAAAACATGTGAACAGGTAGATAACTCTCGAGGGAGAGCGACCTGTCGATGTTGTATTCGAGTTGACACCGGAGACAGCGTTCGCATAAATGCAGACAGTCGATGGACGTAGTCTGATTTACCGAAATCATTACTGCTCCGTGGTGTGAAGAATTCCCCAGGCAGACGCAATGTCGTGCCGTATACAAGTTCAGCGGCGGAACATTGGATATCTGCCTTCAAACTCGTTCTGATGCCTAAGAGAACGAGCGGTAAGGTTTCGTACCAATTGTCGTTTTCGTGTGCTCGAAGAGCACTTTTAAGTTGGCGATGAAACCTTTCGACTAAACCATTCGATGCTGGATGGTAGGCGGTAGTGCGTATGCGTTCCGTACCAAGCAGCCTGGTCAGTGAGGAGAATAATGCGGACTCGAATTGTTGTCCTCGGTCAGTCGTGACAGTCGAGGGACAACCGTACAATGCTATCCATCGTTCTACGAAGCGGTGAGCAACTGTCTCCGCCGTGATAGACGTGATGGGAATAGCTTCGGGCCATCTTGTAAAACGGTCAATGCACGTGAGTATGTGATCATACCCATGCGATGGTGGCAATGGTCCTACAATGTCTATATGAACGTGATCAAAGCGAGCATCAGGCGTAGCGAACGTGCCAATGGGGGCAGCTACGTGCCTGTGCACTTTTGATCGTTGACACTGTAAGCATTGCTTTACCCACATACGAACATCTTTATTCATGGACGGCCAGACGTATCGTGCAGCGATGAGACGTAATGTGGCTGCGATACCTGGATGAGACAATCCATGAAGGGCATCGAAGACGAGACGGCGATAGGTAGAGGGTACGATGGGTCGAGGTAGACCGGTAGACGTATCACATAGGATAGTACCTGAGCTAGTAGCTAGGGGTACTTCCTGACACTGAAGGGACGAAGATTGTGGTGCTTCTGTACAGACAGGATCGTTTGCTTGCGCGGCGGCCATAGCAGGAAGATCGAGCACCGGTAAGGTAACTGCATTCGTCTGGATACGTGATAGAGCATCGGTAACATAGTTCGACTCGCCTTTAATGTGACGAAGGTCTGTCGTGAACTGGGAGATATAGTCCAAATGTCTGCACTCTCGTGGTGAGTAGCGGTCAGACTTGGTATGCAGGGCATACGTTAAGGGCTTATGGTCGGTGAATAAGATGAATTGACGTCCTTCTACTGCGTGCCGGAAATGTTTGATGGCGCAGTAGGCTGCAAGCAGCTCGCGACCAAAAGCGCTATATCTCGTCTCCGTGGGAGTAAGGCGTCGTGAGAAAAATTCAAGCGGTTGCCAACTACCGGAGATATTCTGTTGCATAACGGCTCCTATAGCGAAATCTGATGCATCAACCGCTATACTAAGCGTGGCTGATGGGTCAGGATGAGCGAGAAGTGTAACTTCAGCGAGAGCCGTTTTGATCTCTGAGAATGCAGTACGTGCGGTATCGTTCAGTTCTAATTTGCGTGGATTACCGCGTAGTAAATCGGTTAATGGTCGTAACCGTTCTGCCGCGTGAGGGATGAAACGTCGGTAGAAGTTAACCAAACCGAGAAAAGCCTTCAGTTCCTTGATTGAGGACGGCACGTTGTACTCCTTGATTGCTCGAACTTTGTCCTCGCAAGGCAGAATACCCTCTTGTTTGATGATGTGACCCAGAAATATTATTTCTGATTTACCCAATTCACATTTCTCTGGGTTGACTACTATTCCATTATCCGAAAGACGTTGGAATAATAGCGTAAGGTGTTGATAATGTTCATCTACGTTTGATGATGCGATCAGCAGGTCATCAATATAGACGTGAACAAAATCCAAGTCTCGTACTATGCTATCGATAAACCTTTGGAAAGTTTGAGCAGCATTCCGTAATCCAAATGGCATTCGTAGGAACTCAAACAGACCGAAAGGAGTCGTGATAGCAGTTTTTTCGATGTCTTCAAGAGCGACTGGGATCTGGTGATATGCTCGTACCAGATCGATTTTAGAAAAGATAGTCGTGCCCTTGAGCGATGCCGTGATGTCGTGTATGTGGGGGATGGGGTAGCTATCAAGGCGCGTAACTACGTTTAATGCTCGGTAGTCGCCGCAAGGTCTCCAACTAACCCCATCCTTTTTGCGCACCATGTGTAAAGGAGAGGCCCAAGGACTGTGAGAAGGACGAATAATACCAGAAGATAGTAAATTGTCAAACTCACGTTTAGCGAAAGCTAATTTGTCCGGTGCCAGTCGGCGTGGTCTTGCCGTGACTGGTGGTCCGCGGGTGACTATGTGGTGTACCACACGATTGGTCACCGATGAAATCTCCTCGAATGGTTTAGTTAATCTGGGGAATTTCTCGAATAAGGCGTGGAATTTATCGTCACGCGAATAAAAAGTTCCGAGGATTCGGTACGCGTTTGTGTGAGCTTTAAAGCCCATGAATTTGCTGTTCGACGAAGTATCGATTAGCTGCAGCCTACGTGAATCGACTAGCAATTCATAGTGCTGTAGGAAATCAATACCTAGTATGGCTGTGGGAACATCAGCAATGATGAACGTCCACAGATACCGTCGTCGGTTGCCCAGGTTGACCGCGAGTTGTCGTGTACCGTAGGTAGGAATGGCTGAGCCATTTGCAGCGCGTAGTCGAAGCATTGTAGCTTGTGACTTGATGATACCTCGTGGTACGACAGAAACTTGGGCACCTGTATCAACTAGGTACCTAGCGTTTGTGCGATAATCGTGCACGTAAAATAAACGGCCAACCTGGGGGGCAGGGCCGGCGAGTACGGCCGCTTTTACTCGCCGGCTTTGGAGTTTCCCGCCTTGTATGAGCACGGGGCTCGACAACGGCGGGCACCAGATCCGAAGGATCGATGAAACCAGCACCAACCTGCACTCGCTTCCGAAGCCGCCTTTTGGCGTGGCTTGGAAGATGCCCTCGTTGGGCGAGTGTTGACGGCTTTTCGGGATCGTGAGCGGACTCGAGGGACGTAGGGTTGGGGTACGTTACAACGGTCTCGAAAATTAAGACGTGTGTGAATACACCCTTCCCTGTCACCTTGAGCCGAGGAGTGGCTGCCGTCGATATCGACTTTCGGACGCGACGTTGAGGCAACTATGTAGTTGTCTCGGTTGCCAGTCCTAGCTAGAATTTTGTCTGCTGTGAGGGCTACCTGTTTCAGTGGTGCGTCCTCGAGCAGGGCCGTAACTGTAGGTTGGATAAATGCTGGTAGAGATTCGAGCCACAGTTCTTTAACAATTTCAGAATCGGCTGCCGTGGGTCCTGCAAGAGATTGCAGGCGCGTGAGGTGGTGGCTCGGTTTAGCATCACCCAGGGGGTGACGTGCTAATAACGTCCTCAATCGTTCCTCCCTCGATGGAAGGAAATATCTGAGGACCGCCTCCTTGAGACGATCGTAAACATTGGGCACATTGGAATTGAGGACAACCTCACGGACAGCTACTAAATGGTCTCCCGGTAAACATTCGAGAGCGTAAGTGTACTTCTGCCGTTGGCTTGTAATATGACGGGTCTCAAATTGAGACTCTATAGCAGCAAACCAAACTTCGGGATCGTGAGGAATAAAAGATACAGGTCGAAAGTGTATAACCTGTACGTCAGAGTCTATTACGTTAATATTATTCTTATCGTTATCCGTCATGTCAAATATATATATTAAAAATTAATATGGAAATATATGACAGACGTGGATAGATAAGCGATAGACTCACCAAAATTGACTTCTTTGGAAGGTTTGGTTGCGATTGCCAAGTGCTCGTAGATGTAGGTTCACCAGTTGCAGAAGATTTGACCGAAGTTGAGGCGTGTTCCAAAATTCGGGTCACCAAATGTAGCGTGGTGTCGAGTTGAGCTGAACTATGAACACCGCTACCAGACTACTTGCCAATAGACCAATAAAATTCCGATAGGCCAAAATATCAGAAGGCAGATGATTGTAGTAGTCGTATATATTTGTTGGCGATCTCGTGGTATCGAAAGAATACCGAGATCGTGCCAAAGGAGTACAGTTGCGATCGGCAAGATAAGATACGTGCGTAGTCCAAAAACCGCGTAAAAGCAACGGAATACAATGGAAGCCCAAAATGGCTGTTATTAGCACAGTTAAACAAACGAGCACAGTAAAACAGTCACTGGTACAATTGGTTATAATAATAATTGTTTTCATCGAACCAATCGTGTTCTGTTGACAAAAGTAGGTCACTACAAATATTCCAGACCAAGTTATGAAGCAATATGTAAGCCAAAATATGGACTATGAAACACAGAAAACCTAATAGTTTTTTGCAATGATTTTGTGATTTTACTGAAGCGAAAGATTACTTGTATATGAGGGCACTTAAGATGCTTGCATGCCAACAGACACACAACAAACAAACAGCTATCGATATACAAAATGGACATCACTTGTCAGTCCGTTCAAGGTCGTGCATCATCACGATGACATCATCTTCGTTACTTGAAGGATGGACGTTATCAGACATGGTGTGGCTGAACTCAATTCAAATCTAAAAATATCTTGATTTGACCGCCTCTAAAAAACTTCACGAGTTGTCGATGTGACGCACTAATCATCTTGAGACAGTTTGACCTTCAAGTGCTCGCAACCCCCAACAGTGGACGATACCCCTGAGGCGTTGCCGGAAACGGCGGGCGACTCCCAGTAAGACGAACTACTTTTCTGTCCTATTAAGTTTATGCGACTAGTAATAGTTCTACAAATTATTGGGCGGGACTATAATTTATGGATGAACCAATCAGATTTACGATAACAGGTCTTAGGTTAAGGCGCGAAACTAATTGACATTATAACTGATATCAGTTCGTGATGGAAACCCTTAATCTCATTCCTAACCCTAACCATCAACTGTAAATCATAATCCTTATTCTTCGAACGGCTTTATCACCATTTAGCCCTAGTATGTAGATAGACATTCCCAAAGGTCGACCATAAATTATAGTCACACCGTATCACTGGAATGCAACTACCAGATACTTCGCTACGCACAGGCAGAAGTTCATCTCGTAGCGGTGTTGTCGTTCACCTGACGAATAGTCCTGTCGTACGATATGTATAGGTAAGAATACGGAGTAATACGTTGCGTCAGTTCCAAACACAATTCTCGAATAGTCAACTAGAAAACATCAAATTAAAAAGACTATAGTAAATACTAAGATGCAAGGAGCCGCAATACTTTTGGCGGTGCACAGGCAGCTTGGATATTCTGGTTACGTAGGATGAAATTATATTTATTACACTCTGTCTGCCATTAAAGTGTGAGATTAAAATCGCTTTATATCTTTCTTTCTATGAACTAATTCTTTCTTCCTGTACTATATCCTTATATGCGATCTTCCTTCTATATATTACCATCACTGAATTAACTACTTCTATAAATCCGGTGTTCATCTTGCTGTGCTAATGCGGTATGGCTACTTGGACCGATGCATATATGTGCCTGGTCCTACGTCAGTCAATCAGTAACAACGTGGAACGTCGTACGTACGTACATCAGTTCGAGTTGCCATACCATGTTAGCACAGAGATTCAGTTATCGATTCAAATCCCACAGTGGTAGAGGTAGTGATAGGGAACATTAGGGTTTGATGATGTTATTTATGAAGTATAGTCCAGAGGAATAGATTTGGAATGAAGGTAAAGGACATGAAGAATACAGAAGATTAGAGTTTGAGAGAACACAGACAGTGGATGCACCTGCGCCATTGCAAACGATTTTGAGCCATGTCATTCAAGGTCTCTAACCATCGGTTGCTATCATCTCGCGGTCCCCAACCAGGAAGTCTACACCTACCAACATGGCTCAGTTCACTTGTCAGTGACTTCATGGATTTGTGCCATGTTTTGGTCTGGCCACCTCTAGCTTTCTTTCAACCTACTCCTACACCAGAAAACATCGCACGTCGTGGCAGTCGGTGGTCAGGCATGCGCAACACATGTCCCAGCCATCTCAACTGATTAAGTTTCACTACTTCATCAATTGATTTGCCATCCTTACCTAGTACCCGTTTCCTAACAACTGAGTTACTTACTCGGTGGTCCCAGGATATACGAGCAATGTTTCGAAGACACCTATGATCAAATACTAGTAACCTACGAATATCCTCTACTCTTACTGACCATGTTTCACTGCCATAAAGTAGGACGGAACGAACTGCTGCTCAGTAAACACGTCCTTTGGCTGGTAGACGGATATCTCGCCTACGCCACTAATGATGCAATTTGGCAAAAGCTAGTCGAGCCTTCTGTATCCGTGCTGAGATTTCGTCACACACCATACCACAAGGGCTGATGAGACTTCCAAGATAAGTGAAGCGGTCGACACGCTCAATTGCTTCACTCCCTATCACTAGTTCGGGTGTCGATGCAACCCAATCCTGAAGCAACATTTTGCATTTCGAGGGAGAAAATCGCATGCCGAACATGCCTGCATTGTTGCTTAGAGTGGTCAGCAGACTATGCATCTTGTCAGCGTCTTCACTAGATAGAACTATGTTATCGGCATGTTCTAAGTCAACAAGTGAATCTCCCGGTAGAAGTTCAACTCCTGGAAATTAAGATGAGGAAAGTGTTATTTCTAAAAGTACCTTCAACGACAAAGTTAAACAAGAATGGAGAGAGTGGACAACCCTGACGAACACCACTTGAGGTTATCAGTTCTGATGACAGTTCGCCATATGCTCTCACTCGACCAGTTGTGTTCGAGTAGAGAGCCTTTATAAGGTTAATGTACTTCTTTGGTACTCCTTTCAGTGACAAACACTGCCATAGAATCTCACGATCAACAGAGTTAAATGCCACCTTAGGGTCGAGAAATACTACCATTGTGGGGCGTCTGAATGTGTGTCTATGTTCTAGGACCTGACGTAGTGTGAATATCTGATCTATACAACCATGTCCAGGTCGGAAACCAGCCTGGCTTTCTCTAGTCTGCTCTTCACGAGCTTTGGTTAGACGTCGAAGTATTATTGAAGCTAATATTTTAGACACTATATTAGTTAAACTAATTCGTCTGTGATTGTCACAGGAGGACTTTTGTCCTTTCTTATAGACTGGCACAATCAGTGATTGAGACCAGTCAGATGGGATTACGTCCAGTTCCCAGATTCTACCTAAGACCTCAGTCAATCTCGCTGCTAATACTGGGCCACCATCCTTAAAAATCTCAGGGGTAAACCTGTCAGGGCCTGCTGCTCTCCCACGCTTCAGATTTCCTATAGATTTTTCAACTTCGTAAAGAGTCGGAGGACTTACATTAATTTGCCATTCAGGTAGATTGGAGATCGTGGGAAACCGAAGTGTGGCTGAAAGCCAGTTGAACTGATCCCTAAAGTGTTATGCCCATCGATCCAATCTCCTGGATTGAGAATGAATAATATGTCCATCTTTCTCTGCGATTGTTTCGCTAACAGCTGGGTTCCTAATACCGGTTTCCTTAACAAGTCTGAACAGTTGCCTGCTGTTACCTATTGCTGCTGCCTTTTCCATCTCTCTTGCTTTCGCTACCAACCACTGTTCACGATCAATGCGTAAGCTTCTAGTTTACGAGCATCTATCAGTGCGGTAGATGCTACTGAGATCCAGTGTTTCTCCCTAACCTTATGGTTTACCGTACTTGCAGACATCACTGCTGTTTCTACAGCTTTTCGGATGTCATTCCACGCTGCCTCGAGGTGGGCATCACTTACATGGCTGCCTAACTGTTTTTCTAGATGTTCCTGAAATATACTCTTAGCTTGACTGTCATTAAGTAGGACCCTAAGGGGTTCCCTTGTACCATCTTTTCTACGTCCAGTAAGACGTAGTCAAATACGCGCTCGCAACAGAGCATAATCTGAGTCTAAGCATGTGCTCCAGAATGAGCGACAGTCTTTTATCGAGCCCCTCCATCGGTGGCTGATAGCGATGTGATCTATTTGGGTCCAACTTTGGGACGAATTAGGGGGTCCCCATGTTAAAAGATCTTTTTCCTTATGCTTAAAGTTAGTGTTTGCAAGAAACAGGCGGTTATCTGAGCATAGCTGCAACAGACGGTCGCCGTTATCTGTTCTTTGAGCCGCGACACCATAAGATCTACCCAAGTGTCTTTCCTTTTCGCTTAGTTTACCTGCTTGAGCATTAAAGTCCCCAGCCACTATTACTACATCTGAACGCCTAGCTTTTCGGAGAAGGTCGGAAAGCTTTCTGTAAAACTCATCTTTTATATCATCTGAGCTGCAGTCAGTGGGAGAGTAAGCAGAGACGACGAAGAGGCAACGACGAGTGTCCCTATCTTTTCGAGTCCTTACTGTTCCGTTTAGTCGGACAGCACACAAACGACTGTCTACTGGGATCTAGTCTAAGAGAGTTAGTTCTGCCCTAGGACTCAATGCTATACCTACGCCAGCGAGACCACGGGAAGCAGCATCAGGGCTTCCAGATACACGAAGCGTAAACCGAGTTGGTTCGTTACTTTGACATAATGCGGTCAAATGAATGACACTACTAGGGTCCTGTGTGCGCGTTTCGGAGACGCAGCACACATCGATGGAGCGAGATTCTAAAGTCTTAGCTAAGGAAGCCTGTTGTCCTATTTGGCACAGTGTTCGGACGTTGAAAGCTCCTACGTGTAGTTTGGAGCGTGGTTTCAGGAGACCAGGAATAACATTCCGCGTACTCGAATCGTTCGCACTAGCGGGGCGAGGTGATAAAGGGACGTAAGAAGGGTTAGTCGTGGAGATAAGAGAGTTATTAGGAGGTGTAGGAAGGATTTGAATGTGACCAACTTGGTCTCGTGTGCTGTTACGGGTATGAGGGCTGATTTCACTTCCCGGTTGCCCACACCGTGGTAGGGTATTTCTTGAGGGACCTGAAAAGGAAATCGGATTAGTGTTGGTCTTAGCGACCTGAGTGCGTGACCGCAGAGCCCAAGGGACAACTGCTTGAGACCGGCCATTTTGTGGGAGGTTTTTAATGCGTTAACTCCGTTCTTCAAAGGGTCCTACCGCCGGAGACGGAAATCCGTGGGGTAAGGTGACATTTTTAGGGTCAACCTTTTCTAACCCCTTCCTTCCTTGTGAGAAGGCAGCATCGCTGCAGATGCTGGTTGTCCGAGGGAAACACCTTACTGCTGTCACACCTCTGTACAGTCAGCAGTACGACTTCGCCCTCAGATCTTGAGTTGCTGCTTTTAGTCTTACCGTTCTCCAATCGACCTGCCTGGCATGGTAGAACCTGCAGGAGCATGTGTTCTAGCCAATATAGCTCGGTTGGGCCATCACGTCAAGGTAGTAGGTGGGCTCAGAAACGGGACTGAGTTAAGGATTTCATCATGATTATCCTGCAACCCTAATGTAAAAATCCCAAACTTGATATCCTGGCGTGATAAATTATTTACTAGTATTTGCTGTCTTCTGGTTGGCCTGGGCGAATCAAGAGCTAAGGTTCGTCTAGCTATTTAGTACTTGACTCGGCAGTCTTTCGAAGATCTAGTTTTTGTATCCCGTCCTCTCATTTTTATGAAGCTGGTGTCGCGGATTATTTGTAGCCAACAATATCTATCACCACGATTAAGCGAATCCCTATGAACATGACATTTACACGACTGTCAAAAAACTCAAAAATCGATACAAATACCCCTAGTTTATGTAGTTTTGTACTACTAATTATTATCACCCATCATTTGTCACTAAATTTTCAATATCATATCGTTTTCCAGAGATATTAGAAGCTTTAACTGATAAATGAGCCAGAGTATAACTGTTCCTGTGACTTTTATACGTTCATTCAAGTACCGTACAACGTGTTATTTGCCTTTGTCGAACATTCCTCAGTCGGCGACTGTAAAAGACCTGTTCGATCGCATACACCATGGTAAATATAACATTAGATATACTTTACAATATTCATGTATAGAAGTAAAAACCTCTTCGATCATACCTCCTCCTTTCAAGAACCTTTGTTACGGTGAGCTATCTAATATTTTAACTCACATAGTATAAACCTAACGAACACCCATTGGCACTGTCAATAATTTACTCACTAATTACATAATTCGGTTTGATTTCAGGGGAATCCATGCTTCAGGAGGCTTCTTAGTCTCTTGGTAACCCGACTGGTGTATTTGTCATGTTATAAAACCCGACTTGACTTTCTCTATTTCCTATTGACGACAAATATAGGTTCTTAAATCCATTACTGTTTTCACGTACTATACCAGCCTGCTTGATAATTTCGAAAGATATAGTACTACGTATCTTAAGTACTAAGATTATAGTAATGCAGCGATTTAATATACTCGCTTCAGTAAGAGCTAAACCTAGGACCACTTTAGCTGTTTTAATTTTTTAGTGAAAGTCAATGCCATTTTGAAAAAGTCCTTAGTCGTAACCTAACTGTAAAATACCAGCGCAAATACCAAACAGAATTACGCGATAAACCCGACCGCTTTAGAGTTTTCAACATGTTTTTAAAGCTCTCCTAATAGTATTTAGTTGACTAGCATCCAAACACTTGTTGTCACCGCTCTTGATGTATCTACTTCAACCAATCTTAATAATTTATTTTAATTGCTTATTTTATATATTCTGTATTCTTTCGAAGATGCGCTGAAAGTTCGACACAAAGCTTTTAACACAAAAGTAAGATTTATGGCTTATAATATTCTCTTTACCAGTCTGGAGAACTGTTAATCGATTTAGAAGGTGATCCTATTCCGAGTAATTCGGACCTAACTCTAGAATCTCTAGGAATAGGTATGTTTATTGCATAAATGTCAACACTTATTTTCATGCATAAACGTTTTTATATTTATGTGAAAAAAACCTAATCCATTGAGAAAATATTGACTTGCTAACCGTTAATGTATTTTAATAGGCGCAAAGTCTATAAGGTACAAAGGCCTGAAATGATAAAATGATTTCTAGTCTCGCAATAAGCCTCATTAATTGTTTTACGTAAAGAAAGAATTAAAAGGTTGCGTAAAGCACGACGGTTTAATAAAAATAAGTCCGTTAATCAATTAGAAGTTGTGTATCAGGCTTGGGGGCATTATTTTTGCATGAATCAACAATGCCGTCTACTTTTACTGTCATACAATATACAACTAATATCCCAATGCAGAAATCTAGATGTGTTCAAGTGAGATTTACCCTGATTATGGCTGACCGGCTTATCTAAAACTGACTAGAAATGTATGCAAGTCAGTGTTGTGTTCGAACTTTGGTGAAAGGACCAGATGTTTTTATGCACGTATGCTCACCTGATGAGCCTAGAATGAGATCTATAAGCATAACTAAAATAACCGAGTGTCATTGATGAATAATTAACAAGTTCAGCGATGTAATTTACTCAAGCTGTATAGTCGTATTTATGATTAATTAACACATAAAGCAGTCCATTGAAAAATACGAAGACTACATCATTCTAGGCGCCAAAAGGAAGTCCCATTTAAAGAAAGAAAATACGATATAACCGGATCTGTGAAGGACAACTGTCTACCTGGGGAGTATGGGAAAAGTAAGGAATAAACCATAAATGTGATGATAATAACATAATCAAAACATTAGGAGGATGTATTGATGACCAAATTACCGTCCATAAAAATTATGTGTCAGGGCTATGGAAGATAGACGATAGTTTGCACGTCACTTTTGGACAAAGAAATTGGGTTTTGAAAAGACAAGCTGCTTACGTTTGTGCAGTGCAGTAATCGACTCGTGCTTCTCTTGAACCCAGTCGTTTGAATGTAGGTGATTCTGAAGGATACCTAGTGGGGCCGTGTGACTCAATCTAAAAAGATGTTCTGATATTTGGCTGTTGATTGTTTTACATGTCTTTCGAAAGCCACGCAGGATAATGTTTGGGAATGCACTGGCTTTGTGCCACTGATGTAGCAAGAAAACTCATAAGTACACATTAGCGTGACAGTTCATATTTTCTGCATCCACGAATGATAGGGCGGCTGAAAAAGATTGTGAAGAGCTGAGTACCATAGAGTTTTACTCAACGATCCCGTTGAATGATCTTTTGGAATGTACAAAGCACTATTGCCCCGCAAGCTCAGCGTTCATAGTGTTTTTTAGAACTGTAGGTCTTTGTCCAAAAGTGACGTGCAAACTATCGTTTATCTTCCATAGCCCTAACACATAATTTTCATGGACGGTATTTTGGTCATCCTCCTAATGTTTTGATTATTTGTTATTATCACCACGTTTATATATATATTTCATCTAATTAACAGTGAATGAAACAGAAGTGGCAGTGTTCAAAATGAGTGATTTTCTGGCTCAACGCGATAATCCAGAATTCCTGTGGTGAAAAGTAATACTTAATGTCACTATGAAGCAACCGTTTGTAAATATATACATGACTTGAAATTTGTACATGTAATACACTTTGCGTTCTCGTTTCTTCAGCCATAACTTTCTACTGCTAGTTTTTGGTACTGTTATTCCTGAAGATCTGCTTTTGATTATGAAGATAAGATCTGGTTACATGCTCTTATCCTACGAAGTGAGAATGATATTTTGACAGATTAACTTTAGGATATCTTTGTCAGTATCGTGAAAAGCAAAATATCGATGATACACTAGATTGTTGAGAGAAGTTTAGGGGATACATCGGTGGGTTAGATTTTCATTGTTTACTTGTCAAAAGTTCCTGTGGTGATTACTGAATTATCTTAAAATGTGGTAATAAAGCATTTGAGAATTACTTGCTTTAAATACTTCAGTTCACATTTAACAATACTAAGTTGTCGTAATGTTGATAAAATAAATAGCAGTGTGAAGAGTCATGGGTAGCTCTAGAAAAATACGACCCCCATGGTCGTATTTTCTAGGAACATATTTAGCAATGATATACCTCACCCACATTATCTCAACGCATCACACGGAAATCATAATTGAACTTTACTTACTCATCACTAGGTCTTAGAATCATCACTGATAAATCATTTGTTGAGGTTTGATAAATTTATGATACACAATGTTCACAGAAATTACACTATCACATAAGAAAACTTATGGACATACCACACTAAAGGATAAAGAAAAATTCTGCAGTGTGATTGTGGAAAAATATGTAAATGATTCTAAATGATATAGGTTGACTAGGATAAAAAAAAACGTTCCAGTAAACAGGTTCACAAATAAAACGATCCGAATAGATTCACTTGAATTGTTCTACCCATTTCTTTACCAGTAAATCTAGACAAGTAAATTGCCAATTCCAGTCACTAGGATACAAATACGGACGGAAATCAAACCTGAAATGAGCAGCGTGGATATTTGACGCAAAATCTTTAGTAAGCATACAATATAGCTTTATTATTAACAAGGCAGAATGAACAGATAATTAATCATACCTAGTTGATTTGATTTTCTCTTGGAATCGAATTCTAAATGCTGATTTTAGAAAGACAGCAAAAGTCTTACGACTATAGCACCGTGCCCACGCAACACAACACCTATGAGCTATAAAATATACTCTATCATGTAAGGATCGAATTGTCGATAGCTGCACATCTAAATTCGTCACCACAATCAACCTAATTTCTGGCATCTTGAAAATAGCTTAATCCTTTTAGTATGTCTATTGGCCTTAATCGTCACACCAAATTTTCATTATGACTATATTGCTCCTACACACAGGAATTAGTGCGATAGGATGATGCTTGGCGATCATTTAGCGTTTGGAGATGCTCTGCGTTATCGGACATCCAAATTGTCTCAACTAATTTTCAACACTGGATATGATGATTAGAATGTTATAGAAAGAAGGAAAATGTCTTCATGTTTGTGTTTTCATCCAATACTTGATAAGCGAGATGATGAATCGACCAAACGTTCCTTCTACGAAATTCCTAGGTTGAAAAAAACATTTTCATAGTTGCTTGATGAGTTCAGTGCAAAGGGGGGATTGATGGTGGGTTTATTTAATAGTCAGATGTATGAAGACAAAAGATATGACTGGAAGCCCCCAAATGCCTTGGTACGGCCGAGAGTGGGGAGAGTCCGCTCACCCTCTCGAAATGCTCTCACATGGCCACGCGTATATAGCCTCTGCCAGGGAAGTCCTACTCACTGCCTTCTCGTGGCGGGTGTTGTTTACGAAAATTAGAGGACGAAAAGCGAATGTTCGGCGCTTTAACCGGATCCCAAACCAATGGTGCACATGGGCTCCAGTATCCTGAAGGAACAAATGGCGTATGAACCAATCGTTGGTCATTGGCTACCATGGGACTGCATCTCCTTACGATGCTCCACTGCCTTGTGGGTCAGACATTCAGATCGAAGGCTCGGGGTGTGGCCTCCTAAGAAAACCACCTACTTCGGTTTGGGCACCCGGGCAGTATCACAGCCCTCACACTTATCAAATGAGATCTGTGTGGCACATATGCATTTGGTGCCTCCTTGTACCAATATCTATGTGTTGAAATAAAAATAATAAAAATATGACTGAAAAGAAATTCAAACTGATAGATAAAACGCGAGTACGAAATGGATACCTATCAAAATTTATTAGCCGGATTTCAGGCTTTAAAATCTCTACACTACCACCACTCAATGATTGATAGGAAAACTATATGTTAGGAAATGGCGTTTCAGATCATCAGAACTTATTTCGTAGACTAGATTAGCATAACCATCAAAATTTAATCCATCTTTTATTACAAAATCAAACAGGATACGAACGACAGCATCAAACACCGCTCTTTATCAAAATAGATTGCATGTGTGCTTGAAAGACCACTCGTGCTTAAAAGTCTGATGCTTGCGGACATGTCAGTAAAATGTGCCGTGGAGAGAGTAAACATATTTGCTTATCTGTTCATAATGATAACAGATTCTGTACACAGATTCCAATCCATAGTACGGTTTTATCATCATGAGATTTATGTCGACAGATAATAAGATGAAAACACAGTATCGAGTTTTAATTCACACCCAAACTGACCATTAGTGTCTGATTGGGAACCTACCGAATTGGCGTTACTAGGTGAGAAAATATATGTATGTAAAGAAGGTGATGCGTAGGCTGAGTTTCAAAAAACTGCATAAACTTATACTTTGAAAGCAATAAAACTGTAATAAGGTCTATATTGCAGGCTAAACATCATGAAGTAGCCATGAACGTCGGAATTAAACACAACTATATATAGCGAGGTGGGAGCGGTCCCATCAAGTTTCAGATGGTTAATTGGAAATATTGATATTTATAAAAAGTTTTCGTCCATGTGGTTCCTCACGTTACTCCAATAAGGTCAGCTGAATTTATTGTTGCCTTGTAGTTAAAAAAGACTTCCTATCAAGAGTGGTTTATTATGTTTTCATTGGGTGATGCAACTTCCTGTCAGGTGTATGATTGTTTACACCCAACTGAATTTAACTGTATTAAGTTGTCAATTGCTTAGAAGCGTTAATGATGCTGATATTAATAACAAGTGAATATCCCTTATAAACATGTTCTGCTAAAACATTCTACAATGTAGATTTTAACTGCTTTTGATATCAGCAATAATGTTAGGTTCAAACCTAGATAAATCTTAGTTTGTCAAACAGGAAAAGCTGGTGGTTTTTAACAATTATATCTACAGAATTCACAATATGTAAATATGAAGTTCTGTGATCTAGTCACCACATATGAGCGAGTGGTCATCACAGTCAAGTTCCTATGACTACAGATATCACCTGATTATCTGGGAGACTTCAAAAATAACTGATCTTACTGCATTTGACACGTGAAATATGCTCATTTCCGCAGCAGAGATCTAGTGACTCCAGTATACATCTGTTCTACAGGGTGATAAGCGTATACACAATGATAAGGGTATTATGTAACGCTGTGACTAAATGAACAGTGAAGAAAAAGGTCAACTCACCGGTTATCATCAGCACTATAAGCCTCAGTATGATAAGCTGGTGGTAAAACAGTAGCCTTATGACGATTTATAGCATAGAAACGGAAAAATAATTTCACTTTTTCGTTCAGATATTGAGCAAGTTCAGCACCAGGTTTCCCATCTTTTTGAAAACAACTATCAGGTATAACCTTCTTAATCAGTAACCAACTACCGTCCAGTAACGATTCTAACATACTGTAAGGTCCACAGTTGGATATTTTTCTAAGTCTACCAAATAATGATAATTCGTCATAGGTCAGTCCCATTTCACATTCATCTGTCTGACTAATTTCACCGTTAGGTTGAAGTGGCATTAGTTCAGCTGTCGGATGAGCAGATAAAATTTCTAACAATACTTCCGAAAGTTCAACTCCACTTTCAGAATCCATATAACTTGGGAACGTTTGAGCACAGTAAGCAATAAATAATCGTAAATCTGATTTACTGATACTTCCAATAGGATTTAAGTCTGCACTGGAACAGTCATACCTAAGAAATAAAGTTGAAAACAAGATAGAAAATTACCCGCAAAATCCTTTATGTAATAAAATAATGGTTTTTCTCTTAATATAATTGTTTTGCTGTCTAATAATTTATCACAAGAGAAAGATCGCACTTACTTACTAGTTGCGCTAACTACCTTGATATAATGTAACATCTTAATGCTGCATAAAAAGTACATATTAGAAACTGAAAGGATCCTCTACTTGCTTTTCCGAGCTTGTTTTGAAAAATTATCATAATAAAGGAAAGGAAGCAAACCATTCAAAATATTTACTTTCTTCAAGTTACCAAATTCAGGAACTTTTGATTACCATGGAATTTGAGATATCATATGTCGTTTACTTGACGAATCTCACCCAGCTCAATACTTTCATTTCATTGGATCGAATCCAATAGACCACATTTCCAGTGTTAGTCAGTTAGCGCTGTAGCTCACTCTTAATTCCTTATTGAATTCAATAAATCCATACTGACGCTAATGACTAGCGGGAAAATTATTATTTATTACGGTGACTTTACGGAACCGCTGTTAAGAGCTTTGTAATCTTTAGTAATCCTTCAGCCGATATCATTATTCAATGATGCTTACTTTCGATTTTTTCAAATAATCCACAAACCCGCTTGATCAGACTTCTTTCGGCTGATGATTAGCTAAGAAAAGTCGATGCTTGTAATAGCCTAAGGAGACGGACTGTGATAGAGATAACTTACAAAGTTATCATGAAACCAGTATTCCTCGAAATTTCACGAAGCACGAGTGTAAACCAATATGTAGTCGGTCTAATTTTACCAATCAGAGATTACTCAACATGATATTCATCTAGCCACGAATTAAACTCATTTTTAAAAATAATGGGGTACCGTAAAGTTTTAATTAGATTCGAAAATAAGACATACAAACCTCTTAGTGATTACAGCGCCGTAAATTTCAATTTTAGAAACTAACTAAACCTTTAAAAGTTATCAATCCGATATCTCAGTAACAAAACATATCCCACTGTATGTGAAAGTAACTCGTATGTTGACCGATTAAAATGCAAAGATGATGTTACGACAAAACGTATTGAGGGGATAATTATCGAAGACAACAGTACTAACTGGATACATAATACTTCAAAAAAATAACGAAATTTAAGTTAAGTACATTAATAAATTTATTTTACTAAGATGTAGCTGGATTCATCTAAGGCGTTTCCTAGGACTGTTATTTATAATTGCAAGATTCGATAGAAAGTTATCGGAAAACTTATTGACCATTCGTTTTAAATTGGAGATAAAGATAATCTTTTCCTCCCATATTAAATATGACCCTGTGTAGCTCGATCTACATTGGTTATTTGAAGGTTAAAGATACTTCGGGTGCCAAGAAAAAAGTAGGTGTTGTTGGGGTTTAAGCGCACAACTTAATAGCAAAACATGCTTTAACCACTAAGTCACCGCTCCTAATTGAGAAGACGGTTTGTCTGAAAGCGAATTTATATTAAGTTCAGATAAACTTGGTAACGCAGAATTTTACTTCCAATATCATACAACGAGTAGAATTTTACCTAGTAGTTTAACCGGCAGCTTACGATCAAAAATTAGGTTGCGAGCGAAATGATATTAATCGATTAATGTTTTGTATCAAGTGAATAAGTTATTGTTTCACATACATGGCAAGTCAGATGGCCACTTGTCCTGTGCCTTATCTGATCTTTCAACTCGAACTTTTTTTGGGAGAGCCAAAAACTTGACCAAATCAGAACTCAGTAAAGTTAATCGGGTAATTCTTTTCATCATGAACTTATTGCAGTGAAAAACATTATATTAACTGGTTATTGCGAAAAATTTAAATGACAATGAATATTTTTCACTGAAAAGTTGTCAAATTGCATTTGTACTAGGTAAAAGTTTAACAAATGGCAACATACTTTGTTAAATAACCTCTCAGTCCTTCATCTAGATTTGCACTACTTAAAACTAACAGACCTGTCGGCAAATCCCATTTCCATGGTATTAACTGAGCCAGTAAATATGCTGAAACCATACGACTTCTAGCTTGTATATTTTGAAGAGCTAAACTTTCTTTACTTGAACCTCCATGAACAGTGAAACGAGGTGGATGAGCAAGATTTAAAGTCTCGGAAGCCATATGGACAAATTCTTTTACCAATGGTGTAATATCGGACTACGGAGTATACATAATGTTAGAATTAAAAATAAATTTTAATAGTAAGTAATTTTAAGGCTACATAATAATAAAGAGGTTTGCATAGTGGAACTTTATCACTTGACTCAGTGATTACATTACATTATTTAAGCTATGAAAACCTGATCAATACCAAAGACTAACTTATCCACATGCTTATCATAATGACGATATAATATAGTTGGTTACCTTATTAACTTGCGTTGATGGCGATTAGTTAAACCATTTAATACAAACAAACTAATAATTTAGTGGGTAAAACCTCGGATTTCAAATTCAAGTGTAAATATGAGCATTAAAACTCAAGACATGATGTATACGCCACGTTTATGAGTTTTTAAATAAGACGAAATGCGTTAAACGAATTTCGTTATCAGTTACTAGCAAATAGCACTCAGTAACAAGATATAAATCTTTTTTAAACAGCTTATTTGTGGAAATTTTTCAATTTTAAGATAGTTTTCACGAAAAACTAATGATGCAGCCCAGAATAACTGGCTTAAATTGATTTGAAGCAACTGAGAGATACGGCTTCACATGAAGCTGGGGCAAAGATCTCCAGAAAGTGAAGAGTCTTGTTTTTATCCCGAGTAAATAAGTGATGCCCACTCCTGAAGACTTTAAGGGTATGAAATAAACAAAATGTCCGCTCCTTTCAAGTTTTAATTGGTTCTCTGATTGATTCTGGCATGTAATGTAAATCTTTGCTGTATCACCTCTTTTCTTCGTTTTAATTTAATTCCAAAGGTCTTCTGCTTCGGAATACACTGCATAAAAATGGGTTCATTAAAATGATAGATGTTATAAAACTATCGGATCAATTTTCGGAGTAATGTGAAAGATTGAAATTTAATTACCTCTAAATGATTTGAACCCAAAAGTCTAGCTAAGCGACTAGCACGTGATCTTGTAAGCGCAGAACTGTTCTCACTTGACATAAAACACGTTGTTAGTAGACGGGAACATAATTGACGACCACTGTCAGGGATATATTTATCCGACTCATTCAATATAGTACGTAAATCGTGTGTAACGGACGTGTTACCTTGTCTTATAGCTTGAAAGATCTCAAATGAAAGGAAAAATAAACACATGTATTTCATTTCAGCAAATACATAGTAACAATACTAATTATAATAATATACACAATAATATGATACATCCTTTGAATTCAAGTCTGTGGAAATATTGTGTAGTAAAAATGAAGTCATTTCAAATATCATTTTACGGATTTATAAGCAAAGATGGATAGTGGTTAGCAGTGGGATCCAGGACGCGCGTTTCGTCCTATTTGGGACTGGTCAGCTGGATGTACCTGCATCTCATAATTGATGTTCACTCTGGAACTCGAACCCAGTACCGTCCGCTTCAAACGCCATCAGGACTCAGTAGCTAAGTGGACAACGCGATGGCGTTTGAAGCGGACGATACTGGGTTCGAGTTCCAGAGTGAACATCAATTATGAGATGCAGGTACATCCAGCTGACCAGTCCCAAATAGGACGGAACGCGCATCCTGGATTTCACTGCTAACCACTATCCATCTTTGCTTATAATGCTTGTAAATTAAGGCAATATCGAGGCAATACGCACAGTATGCACATATGCCAATAAGACTGATCAATTGCAGTCCTAAACATCAATGGGAAGATTTAAGTAAAACAATATCAAGTGAATTTTACGGATTTGTTTGTCACTTATTGTTAAGTAAACATATTGTGCAATACTTGATCAATTCTTTGAATTTTGATAGCTGAATAATACAAACGAATATCCTTGATCAGAAGTTCCTAAGTTAATCATTAAACTCCCTCAATTAATAAGCTAGCCAACGGTTTATTAAATCAAACGATTATCTTGGCATATAATGGCCATTAAAAATCTCAGATTACATTTGAGACAAAACGCACAATAACAAACAAACCAAGTTAGGGATGATGATAGACATCTTCTATATACATCGGTTTGTTTGTGGGATGATAGTATTGCTAGAGATGGTGGTTGCGTTCGAAAAACACTCCTTTCGCCATATTGGAAGTATGAATCTAATGTCGAATTTTAAATGTGCTGCTTTTAGTCCTATTGCTTTGCTGACTACCTGCTAGGTACGTTGGGATCTCAAGAAATAAATGTTTTAGCCAATATAACTCCATTGAATCGTCATAACAGAAAGATTAAAACATCGCATTAAAGTCAGTCAGGATAACTTCTACCGCAAACTGCACATTAATTAAACTTTTGAATGTCTTATTTTTCCTACGTTTTTAGCATAACATTCTACTCCCGCTTCGGTTTTAGCACCCGGACAGTATTATAGCCCTCACAATGATCAATGAAAGCTGCTACTGACTTCATTGTTATTGTGTGGCGCATATGTATTTGGTATCCCCTTGTACCAATGTCTATGTTTTCAAATAAATAAATAAATATAACACTCTGCTACGAAGTGAATCATTGTATATCTCCAAACTGTGGTGAAATAGAAATAATTAAATATATAGCTTTTACTAAAACGACATTTTAAAAAAATGAAATTACTTGGTTACAAAGACTGAACACAATACATGCAACTGCTGCACTGTCCAAACCTCCACTTAGGCAAAGAAAAAATCCTGAAGACTTGCTTCGGCGTAAATTGTCCCACAACCATAATGCAGGACCATAAGAAATCTCTTCTGGAGGTGAAAGAATATTAGTATCGACGTGAGGCTGTAAGGGCTGATCAGGCCAATGGTCACTATGGCAAAGATTGAAATCAACCTACAAATAAAAATGACCTAGCCAGATGTTATAAATTAAAGGATAAATCAGAATTCACATTTTTGCTTAATCATAAAGTGTTCTGATGGAGGAAACAGCTACAGATGAAAAGCGATGTAGAGCGTTATTTGGTTGTATGGAGATCGAATATTTTGTAGATAAACAAAAGTACTATATAGGTAACCAGACTAATTTCTTCAACTAAAGTTTCAACCTAGCTATGCATGATACATTGAAGAATTACAAAAAGTTAGGGATAAACTGATTATGAACGTCAGAAAGTTGTTTACCATTTGCAAACGCTACATTCCAGTTAATAATATGAATAGACAGTTGGCTTGCTTAATATCTAAACCCCGTTACATGAATTACAAGCCGGTAAATAATTTATATGGTGTTGTGACTGTTCTTGAAGTTTTAGTGTCCTCCAGCAGTTTATTTTCGTGAAAACTTCAAACATCAATCCATGTGCGATTTTTAATGAAACAGATATTTGAATTAATTCTAGAAGTCCGATAATTGCTCCGGAGTTATTGTTCGGTGGTCTGGTCATTATCTTTCACAAGTTTGAATCCTGCCAAACACAACATGATCCATGTCTATGGTTTAAAGATATGACCAAAACTAAAGTATATGATCCTGTACTTGGTTAGTTAGTTGAATTTACATTGTTTCATTAACTTATAATTACTGTTTAATCTAATATTTTCCAATAGTAGGTGGTATCGATCGTTCAAGAATATAGGTGGGGTGGCTTATGGTTGGCGATGGCACAGAATATGAATCTAATCGGTATGATATTGCTAATCACTGATAACTGACCAATCAATTTTAGCAATTACAACTAACGAGATATCTCTTTTCATGCTTTACCGTTCTTGAATTTCATTTTACTTTACAGATGATACGTATATTCAGATTATAACCTTTAAATTATATACTTAAATTGTTATGTAAGTCCCTAGATCTGGGAAGCCAGCTGAAGCCACTAGCTCCTTCCTTGTGGACATACATAATAAATATGGGTGGCAGATCAGTTGCAAAAAGACTTTAGAAACTTATTCAGTTAACATTACTATAATTCTTGGTAAATTACAAAAATCAGATTCTTAATAAAAATAAATGAATGATATAATAAGAACAGAGCTTCCGTATTTTACCCAGTGCGTTAAGCAAAAGAAAATCGTACCTTAACAGTTGGATAAGAACTGTGTGTAATGCCAAATGCATCGGATTTCGCAGCCGCACTAGCTGCAGCCGCACGTCCAAAACAACGACTGGCAATTCGCTTTGATCTCAGTGAATTCAGACAAACAGTGACAGTTTCAACAGAGACATCCCCAAATCCAAACTGTGGGCTCAGACAAATTAGCTGACCGGAAACTGCAGCTAATGCACAACCGTCGTAACAAGCTCTCCCAGAATCGCATCCTCTAAGATTTGTATACGCATAGAATCCACCACCATTTGCTGTGCTAGCAGATTTCACTAGCTCTATTCTTCTATTTAGTTTTCTCAGTTCATGGTGACTGGCACTGGAATTGAGCACAGCATCCACGCCAGCTGCATACATATCAATATGAGGTGGTGTTCCCGTCCAAAGCTCTTCACATGTTTCCAAGCCTATCTGTACGTATTCAGAATAGCCATTTCCAGAAAATCGTAAAATAGCATCTCCAAAAGCTACTACTGACTGCGAATTCTCGGTTACTTTCTGGACTATTTCGGGTAACACAAAGTCAATGATTCTTTGGTGATGAGGCCAAGGCGTAAACCAACGAGACTCTCTGTGCAAACCTTCATCTGCGAGGACTAATTTCGGTCGTATCAATAGAATAGTCCCATTTAACAAAATAATTCTGCAATTATAAGCCACACCTCCTAGTAAAACTGGCATCCCAATATCACAAACAATATCTTGCATTTCAACATTTTCATTTGTTTCATTCAATATTTTTGCAATACATTGCCATGAATGAGTATAAGTATCCAGTTCATGAAAATGATCTTCACATCCGTAACCTGAGACCTCTAGTTCTGGTCCAATTCTATACTTAGCTCCCAAGCATTTAGCAGTTTTAATACTTTTAATTACACGTCTGGTATTTCCACTAAAGTCAAGCGCCCACTGATTCAGTACACATAGGGCAACAGTAAATTTGTTGGAGACCGGAGAAAAGTTAATAACTTCAGCAGACATTAAGTCCCTAGATTAAAATGCAAATTGGATGTTATATGCTTCAACAAACAAAACACTTGTAGAGCAGAGAAACGTTACCCATCAAAGCAGAGATTTAGGATTGATTAAATTGGACGTTTTACTTTACAAACCAGATCCTGTTATAAGAATAGTGCCATATTAAAGGGAACAGATGAAATGAGACATCATTACGAAAAGAGCAGTACTTTCTCAAAGATCAATTAAAACCTGAATTGCTGGGAATAAGTTGGTAGTTTGCTACTACAGTGGGGATTTTCTAAATGAAGGATTCTTATTATACATGAGTTTGAGATATGTCAATATACTTCATAGCTAAAAACTTTAAGGAAGCATGTAGTGAATAATTCACAGTGCATATATAATTGGATATCAGCGTTGCGTATAGAAAACAAAACTTTAAATCTGCAAGATATGTCGCTGAAACATTAAACTTAGCCAGCTACAACGTAGGACCAGGTACATATATACATCGGTTCAATTTGTCATACTTCATTAGCACAAGTTGAACACCAAATTCGTAGTAGTTACTTCAATAGTAGTATACGTAAGAAAGCTTTAACCATTAAACAGCGAAAAACGCCAGATCATGAGACACGGCTAGGAAGTGAATTTCCACAACAAATTATATAATTTGTCACATGACCGCATCAGGTGTGCTCCTCGCTTTTTTCCCGTGTTCACCTCTCATTTGAAGTTAAGGTTTTCCAACTCTTCTAAGTTAATCTTATTTGTTTATAAATCCCGCTATAGAGCAACTCGTGCGTTTTAGAACTTAAATAATTGGAAACTAGGTTGTGTAAGTAAATAAACTTGATGAGTCGCTATGGTTGCTTTAAAAGTTCGGTCACCTAAAAATATGTGATTTTAAATGAGTAATGAGTTAGTGAATGTTTCCTACTGAAAAACTACGACAATGTGATGTAATTCTTATTATTTCATGCTCACTGTATCTGATCAGGTAAGAACTAATGAGTGGTTGAACCAGGTGGTGGTCGCTCAAATAAAACTTATATATGATCACTGCTTTGTTTGAAAGGATCCCAAGATAATACAAAACAAGATAATTCCTGGAAATTCATAGGCAATATTATTTATATGTGTATCATATACGTGATGGATTACTTGAACAGTAGGCTCAAAACAGGTGAAGTACTTGTGCACGTCTACTAGAAAAAGCAAAGGATGCTGGTGAGAATCAAGCGGAGTAGCAGCAACAAATCAGAAAGCGACCGACCTTCAGAAGTCTGATAGCAGCGGGTTTTGGGGTAAACGAACTTATACATTCAAAGCCAAACATGACAGATTTCTAGTGAATTTCTCCGAAATAAGAACATACAACAAGCATAATTTGCTTCTAAGTTATCCGCTGGTCATATAACTCAGTAATTGATTAGCTATTGGCGGGCGATTTAGAAGGACAGTGGTATTGTTTATCGTTGAGTTAATTAACTGTTTTGATCGTAAATTACGCATCAAAACTACTGTTTACACTTTAGTTAAACCTACTCCAGTTAAAGTGATGCTACATTGAGTGTTTTGATTTTGCTTTTGTGTATTCATTGCATGGAAGAATACTTAAGTAAAAGTTGACCAATTGGTCGACTTTTACTTGATTTAATTAGTTAAGGTGTGAGAATTCTTTTACATACCCTGTTTGTGTCACCATTGTAGTTTATTTTCAAGATGGTCAGCTCTGCTCATAAATGTGGACAGCCATATTGCTTATTCCCCGTGGAGGAAGGGATGTGATGCGCTGAGTGTAATTAGTGGTTCCATAAGATGTGCACCCGATTAAGCCCCATTGCATACAAAAGGTGCTCATAGCCCAACTCTTATCGGCTTTGAATGTTTTGTTGCTCCAGCAAAACGGTGCTCATCCAGGAAGCAATTAGACTCCTGGCGTTGGCTAATAAGAAGGTTGACGAGTTCTGTAATGGTAACCTTGGTACTGATGGCGAAGATTGCGTCAATGTCGTAAGTGCTGTCACGGCACAACACAGACACCTAACTGTGCAGACCGAAATTGAACCCTCTACTCCAAAATAATCAATGAGCCATACTCCATTAGACATTGGTGGCCATGTTGCTACAGCAGTGAACGGTGATCCAGTCAAAACAAATATTGTCCCGAGTAGTTCTAATGTAGATGCTACGACTGATGGAATATGGATGACTCGGAAACGTAGAAGAGTAGGAAAAATAGCTAAAACCAATTCCCGTTTATTTGATAAGTCACTGGTGGACTCACACACTACTCCACCAAAGTCCCAAAGTAAAGCCTCGTCAAGCACTGTTGTGAGTCACTCGCTCGACTCCCATGATCCTGTCACAATAAAAACTACACGTAAGATGCCAGTTATTGATATGCAGGATCTAACATCACGATCGAAAGCCGTGAACATGATTTCAAAAGAAGCTCAACCTCTTCCTAGTTTAATTATTTGGAATCTAGAGGAGTCGAAAGACAATGATCCTGTTAAAAGACATGCCCACGATCTACAGCTAATGGAATCTGTGATAAGAAATTTACCACCTGAAGAGGTTTCAAGGGTACACATCACGAAAGTAATACGACTCGGCAAATGGGTTGGAGGCGAGACCCAACCAAGAAGGATCTTGAAGCTGATTCTCGGTAATTTCGAAGAAAGAGATATATTATTAATGAACGCACAGAAAACTCGTGATTCAAATATTCGTATCCGACGAAATTGGCTGCTTGAGGATCGAATCAAGTGGAAGAATGCTCCTATGGAGTTAAGAACTCGCAAGTTAAATGGCGAAACTAACCTTACCATTAAGGGTTTTCAGGTAATCAGGTCTTGGAAGTTAATGCTTCCGAGGCCCGTATGGGCAGAACGAATTATTACCAAAACACCTGAAGTAAGTGCTACACGAGCGCCCGTAGCCTTAGGAATAAAACGTCCGAGCTAAGTCTGATGGTGGATGAATTAAGTCCCGATACAATTGTTGCTACAGAAACTTGGTTCACCGTAGAAATAGAATGTTCTCCAGTCATTGCAGGCTATATCTGTATTAGACGTGATAGAGTTTTAAGTCGCAAGTAAGGGGGCATAATTTTATACATTAAGGATCACTTTCGTATACAATCAATGATATCGGAGGCTCATGTTAGTGGTACACTTGAGGCAGCATGTTATAAGAGTAAATCTAGAAATGTGTTAGTGTCTATAGGGGGAATTTACCATAGTCCGTGTTGTCTTGCTGACGACTTTATCTTGAGACATATCTGTTCTTGGAGTATGGCAGAATGTTGTCTCATCATTAGGGACTTCAACGCACCGCATATTAACTGGATAGAGCTTACAGCTCCAGGTGGCCGTTTCGATAGCGACCTTTTATCAACCTTTATTCAGTGTGCACCTGTACAATGTGTCACAAAAGCGACACATATTGACATGAAACATGATCCGTCACTGATGGACCTCGCCCTCACCCACCAATGTGAGGATGTCTTTGATATTCAGCACCTTCCCCCACTAATAAACAGTGATCGCGTTGTACTTCACCTTAAGTTTGAGACATGGTATGCGGTTTTGTATCTGCTCTTCCCATCCTAATATCTGGCGAGCTAATATTCCGGCAATAAGAGACTGTGCTATCTCGACTGATTGGTCGGTCTATAAAAATGGATCGATCGAAGACGAATGGAGTAAGTTTATGGCTGCATTTGAGTCCGTAAGCTATCACATTGCCCTCCATGAATTAATAAGTAAATCCGGAAGCTGTTAAAGCGTAGGAAACACTTCTAGGACTTATTCTTGTTGACAGGTCACGCATCATTTAAGCGTGGGTACCGAAAATTCCGGAATATTTGTAAGAAAAACATAGCTAAATTCCGTACTACATACGAACGACAGCTGGTATATGATAGCCGTACTTTTCCGAAACGACTGTTTTTGTACTTTAAACGTCGAATGAAAAGTAGTGATGGTATTCCCCTATTACTGTTACACGAAAATTCAGATTTACTAGCTGAATCAGATCGGGCAAAAGATGATACCTTTTCGAACTATTATAGTGAAGTCTACTCTACGTTTATTGTAACAAATACTTGTCCCAATCAAACCAAGATACCAGCCATTGAATCTGTACAGGTGACTGAGGAAACTGTCCTTCCGTTGATAACTGACCTCAAACCTAGTAAGGTACCTGGCCCTGACGGGTTGCATCCACGGCTGCTGTCATCTCTTGTGGACACTATTTCTAAACCACTCGCGACAATCTTCAACAGGTCCTATATTTAAGGATGATCAGTGACAGATCGTATCTAACTACCTGCCTGTCAGTATAATTAGCATTGTTGTTAAGCTACTTGAAAAGATAATTCGGGTTGGATTGCCAAGCCACATAGATTCACACAATCCGTTAGCTCCTGAGCAACACGATTTCGTGACAAGCGTTCATGCTTGACGAACTTACTTATTGCAAGAGAGGATTGAACAGCAGCCCTAGATAATGGTCTGTCTGTCCATGTGATATTCATAGATTTCAGCAAAGCTTTTGACAAGGTTTCACACTTGGGTGTTAGGCAGGAGCTCACGAGCTTCGGAATAATAGGAGTGGATAGGAAACTTCTAATGTGAGCGCAGACAGAGAGTGAGGGTCAATGGGACGCTATCCGATTGGAAGCCGGTCAAAAGTGGTGTACCTCAAGGCACCATCTTAGGCTCTCTGCACTTCCTTCTCTACGTTAACGAGTTACCGCTGTCGCTTAGGCCGTCGACATTATTATTTGTGGATGACATAAGAATCTGGAGAACAATAAAAGGTGAGGCTGATCATCTGGCTCTCCAAGCTGACTTAGACGATTTAGTAAGAGGGGCTCGAGGTTGGGGCTTAGAAATCAATTCTAGGAAGAGTGTGCTAATGCATATCGGTCACGGGTATAGTTACCATTATAGTAGTGGTGTTGAACCTCTTCCATGCATTCAAGAACATAAAGACTTAGGAGTAATAATAAGTCATGACTTAAAAACAACTACGCATTTCAACGCATCCGCTGTCAAAGATTTTCGTACGTTATGGTCGCTTCGCCGAGCGTTCAAATCTTTTGACGAGGAAATGTTTCGCATTTTATATCCCATCTATGTAAGACCACATTTAGAGTACTGTATCCAAGCAGCTAGCCCATGTCTGGTAAAGGATACTAACTCACTTGGACGTGTTCAGCGTGTGGGGACGAAATTAGCGAAGGGTCTTCCTAAACTCCCTTACGATGAGTGTTTAAAACGCCTAAACCTTTCTCCCTTTGTCGTACCATGAGACGCACGGTGACCTTATACTGGCATTTCGTATCTTTAATTGTGATTTGGGTGTTAATGTCTTATCTTTTTGCTCCCTCCAGCACTAATACTCTCCGAGGTCATAGCAAGGAGGTTCACAAACTGCTATCTAATAAACTTAAAGTGGGGTCCCGTTTTTCTCATCGAGTAGTTAATTATTGGAACGCCTTACTCGAACGAGTGGTATCAGCCCCATCAGTGAATATTTTCAAGGAGAAGCCGGATTTCACTGGAAGGCAATCTGTCAGGCTTAACACAGGTTCACCAACCTATCCTTATTACTGAAGACTGAAGAATTTTTTATATACAATAGATGGTATGGAGATATCAGATAATTGAAGGGCACACATTTAATGCTATTTTTCAGTCAAAACATAGACAGTAGGATGATTCACATAATCCTAAACTAAGTTAGATCTTTATTGTTTAGATGAGCTTTTGATTTTGGTAAGTATTTATACTTCAGCAGGCATTGTATTTGTGATGAGATAATTTTTCAGGGATGCTATAGGGATATCACTAAAAAGTTTGTATGTCCAGCCAAACTCATCTTTTTTCATCACCCAACCAATGCTTCCTGAAGTTTTTCAAGACTACCATTTGAATGACTGGAGAAAGTCACTAGATGGATTGCAACATTGTTTTCGAACGTGTTTTCTTAATCTTGACGTCAACTTTTATTATGATTAAAGGTCAATGTGTTGTAAAATAATAAGTTCAAGCTGCCTAGTTATATTAGGGAACATGCACCACCGTTTACTCGAACGCTATCTGGTGCCAATGATTGACCGACTGCTTTCAGGTAGATGTACACCAAGTAAAGGCCAACAAGAATATTGAAAAATCGTGAAGCCGTTTATTCCCCTGATTTTTTAGCTACTGCAATTGTATGGAGCTAGGTGCCTTCAGTCTCGCTCTTTACGGTCTTCTCTGTGGATCACTGAAGCGAAGCT